CCCCAAAACCCCAAAACCCCATATACAGAAAAATGGATCAATTAAGAGTTATTTCAATTAGATTTCTTGTTAGTTAATTTGGCATTATTTCTCTCATCAACATACTTATAGTAACTATTATTAGCTCCAATCAAAGTATCCCAAATAGTGAACAGACCTGCATAATTTCCTACGTTATGACTATGATGATAGTCATGATACTAAGCACTTGAGTGAAATAAAACCATATCATTAGGTATCCAGGGGAAATTGTAGCCAGAGTGAGCAATTACATTATTTGTTATTCTATGTGTTCCCCAAATCATAAATGTATAGAAATGCATTTTGGAACCAAGAATCAAAGTAGGAATAACAAATGGTACAGCACCTCCAAGAACAAATTCAATAGGATGCATATATTCTGCGCTAAAGCCAATTGTTTAGATGTATTAATGATGAAGTTTGTGTATTTTCTTGTAAAAAAATGGTTTATGCAATATCCAATGACTTAGAGAGAACAAAAAATCTTGGATTATCATACAAAACATCATCTGCCAGACAATAGTTTTCCAATCAGGTAAATCTTAAATTTCAAATGAGTATTTTACTTGATAATTATCTCTAATTGAAGCTGCCATTTGTGTAATAGGAATCACTATAAAGTTATTGGCCAGAATAATCACAAAACTCTTTCTTAAAAGCTCTTTCCATTGTTTAGGATCATCTTTCCAAGGCCATTCTCCATCATAAACTTTATATTGCTCGAAAAATGGATGCTCAATATGATAAATTATCCAATAAAAGAGATTTTAAACGAAGTATAGAAGTGTGCTATATAAGCATGTGTTTATACATGCAATATGCCATTTTTGTAAATCATATTTTTGCATTAAATCTAATAAAATCGGCCAAAATCTGTATCCTATCTAAGGTATTATATACAGATAAAAGAAGATTTAGGCTAGGGCAAAGAAGAAACCCCATCCTTTATTCTTGTACCTTTAAATTTCTCTTTCCAAAACAACTCTTAGACTGACTTTTCCTCTATCTTGTTATTTTATCATTAAGATATGTTTTAATATTCTTAGCAAATTCAATTTTACATAAATCAAGGCTTCTTTAAATTTCCATTTATTATAATAACTCTTAATCAATCTATCTCATTGTAGAATGAATCTTGGGGTTTTGGGGTTTTGGGGTTTT